AAACAGACAAAAAATAAGAAGTTATGGACAAATATTGGTATTTTAAAGGCTAAAGGGGAAAAATGTAAACAAATAAACAACATAATTACAAAATAACACATTTTAGGCAAAATTTAGACACAAACTGAGGACAATATTTCCTGACATACAGGTTTATTTAATTGTGTGAAAATGTAGCACGTTTAAAAAAAATACCGCGATAATACCGAAAACCGTGGTAATTTTGGTCACAATAACCGTGAGGTTAAATTTTCACAACGTGACAACCCTAATACAGACCATTTTAGATTAGGTTACATTTCCTTTATTCCCAGATTATGTAGTTTGTAGCACTCATTATAATGTTGTAGAAAATTTCTGGCCAATCCACGTGATCGGTGATCGGTATCGGTGATCAGCATTCTTTGATATCGGTATCGGTGATCGGCAGCAAAAAACCTGATCGGTGCATCCCTAATTTTTTTATGAGTGAAAAATAATAATCCCCCTACAGTTAACACGTGCTGGTTGCTGTGTTGTGTGGGCAAAACAAAACGTCTGAGCTGTAGAAAAGTGCCAGGCATGCTGCAAGACAACATTTTAATAATACATGACATGGTTTGTTTTAGTCCTAACTTGTGAGCAGGGCAGACGCTCCTGAAGAAGGAAACTGTTAAAGAGCAACAAGCTAGGCCCATCTCACACAGGCGGCCATGCTTGAGTAACAGTGCGTGGTTTTGTTAAAGCTGGACTACACAGAAGCTCAGTCAGTGATCTTTTTCCAGCCTTACCCTCACCTAGCACGTACCTCATAAATGAAACGTGGCTCAATGCAAAGACAGAAGGAAGCTAAGTAGTAACGTGTCTGTGGCTGATGTTAGCAGGCTAGCTGACTGAGAGCAAACAGGGGGAAAACTGCCTAGTTACATGGTGATGACAACACAATCACTGTGTCGCACTTAACTGCTCGCGTCCAGCAAGCAACCTAAACATCGTGGCAGCCTACAAGTGTGGGACAAACTTAAATCATGTCCCGCGGACATACCTTTGCCTTTTCCATTGGTGTAAATTTCAAGACGTGCACAAAAGGGTTTCTGATCGGGGGACGTTGATCCATTTTCTTTCCATCTCCTTCAATCGCACAATGTCTGCTAGTCGGCAACCTCATTCTTTGATTAGTTCAGGGTTGCAGTAACTCTTGGTTTTAACAAGAAAATCTGATATTGACCAAAACGCCGTCTCCCCGCTCTGTCTTGGATAGTAGCTAATTGAGGCGGCAGTGAGAAGCTATTAACGTTATCTCCCGTTCTTGGCCAGCATGGAGGGATAATGGTTAGCTCAAGGATTATCTGGGATATCTGGAGTCGCCGATATCTGGTTGTCTGTCCACACTGCGTAGGTCGCCTCCCCCACAGTTTGTTCCCCAACAGACCTGCCCGCTAGCTCTGGACGCTAACGGAAGCACGATCTCTCTTCTCCGGCACTACGCATGCGCACGACTGTCCAAAACACGAACCAATGCTGCATTCCCTTACCACCTCAAGTATCGTAATTTCTAAACATCAGCACAATTTTACAAGAAATCGTGTACATAAACATTCCTTATTATACTTATTGTCATTTTTGTTCAGGGTTTCTGTTGTTTTACTCATTTTTAGAACAAAATTCCAACTGTCATGTAGGGATTACTAAAAGTGATGTTGTGGTTAATTCAATTCATTTTCAATTTCAATTCAGTTTATTTGAATGGCACCAAATCACGACAGAGTCGTCACAAGGCACTTCACAAAGTCAACATCCCATACAGTTTAGTTCATTAAAACAATCAGTAAAAAGTTTCCTATATAAGGAACCCAGCAGATTGCATCAACACTGACTAGTGTCAGTCTATACAGCAATCCTCATACTAAGCAAGCATGCAGCGACAGTGGAGAAGAAAATTCCCTTCTAACAGGAAGAAACCTCCAGAGGATCCTGGCTCAGCATAAGCAGCCATCCGCCATACACATAAGCAGCCGTCCACGCACACACAGAGACACACACACACACACACACACACACACACACACACACACACACACACACACACAGAGACACGCACACACACACACACACACACACACACACACACACGCACACACACGCACACACACACACACACACACACACACCATTTAAGTAGTGTTTCTACGGCTACATTGTGATTTGTTAGTAAATATTCTATTTAGTAAGAGATAAACTTTATTGTCTTTATCTTAGTGACTTTAAAATTAATTCAATGGGTAAACTAGTAGTAGCACATTCTATGTCAAAGAAAGTAAAATGTTATTATCAGGAGAAGAATGTTTGAGTGGTTAGCAGCTGTGTGCTAGCCGGTGGCCCCCCTCCATGAGGGCACCACAGCTCAGCAGAACATCATTGTAGCTTCTTCTGGGGATCAAAACACTTAGAGAAAAAATAAAGTTAACAGCTGAAATAGCAGGAAATAATACAGTTAAAGAGCCGATTGTAGAAGAAAGTAGTAGAGTGTGGAAAGTGGTCAGTGTGTCCTCCATCAGTCTAAGCCTATGGCAGCATAACTACAGAGATTATTCTGAATAACCTAGCCTTTTAGATGGAGGCATGTTGGAGGCAGGGCAAGGGAGAGCTGTCTTCATTGATTGTAGTAACCACCTCCCTCTACTCCCCCACTCGTCTAGATCTGGGCTAACATCAGATTTTAACCATAGGCCCTATCAAATGAAATGTTTTAAGCCTAGTCTTAAAAGTAGACAAGGTGTCTGCCTCACGGACTAAGGCTGGGAGCTGGTTCCACAGGAGAGGAGCCTGATAACTAAAAGATCTGCCTCCTATCCTATTTTAGATATTCTGGGAACCACCAGTAAACCTGCAGTCTGAGAGCGAAGTGCTCGGTTAGGAACATATGGAACAATCAGATCACTGATGTATGATGGAGCTTGATTATTAAGAGCTTTATATGTGAGATGAAGGATCTTAAAATCTATTCTGAACTTAACAGGCAGTTAATGTAGGGAAGCTAAGACAGGAGAGATATGATCTCTCGTTTTAATTCTCATCAGAACTCTAGCTGCAGCATTTTGGACAAGCTGAAGACGTTTAACTACATTCTGTGGACTTCCTGAGAGTAATGAATTACAGTAATCCAGTCTTGAGGTAATAAATGCATGAACTAGTTTTTCAGCATCACTCCTGGAAAGGATGCTTCTAATCTTAGCAATATTCCACAGGTGGAAGAAGAAAATTCTACAAACCTCTTTAACCCTGGAGGCAGGCGTTGCAGATTTGCAAAGTTAAACCTACCTACCTGGTTACTCCACATATGTATTTCATGAGCATGTTTTAACTCAGAAGTACCCCTGAAGGACTTAGTTGTTTGTCCTTTTATCAAATCTTATTTTGAGCCTGAGAGGGTTAACAAGGGATAGTCTTAAATTAACAGGTATTCAACCACAGGTGAGTCTAGGGATTTATTTAAGAAGGGTCAAGCAGACAGGTGACTATAAAACGAAAAGCCTTTCCCATTTCATGCAGTCATCAATGGCTCCACATGGAAGAGAAATGTCAAAATCTTAGAAAGAAAATAATTTCTTTACACAAAAAAAGGTGAGGACTACAAGAAGATCAGCAAAGCTTTACACATCAGTCACATTACTGTAGCAAAGTGATCCAAACATTTATGAAAGATGGAAGTGCAACCATCTTTGAAATGGCCAGGCCATCCACGAAGTTAACATCTCATTAGGAGTGTCTTCTGATGAGAAGTGTTGAAGAAAATCCCCCATGCAAGTTCACTGCAGTTAGCTAAAGCAGTAGAAAGCCAAACTGGGGTGACCATTTCCTGTGACCCCTTCTTTCCACGGAGTCGTCAGCAGCACGTTACTGCAGCAGCACGTCATAGCTGCTGATAGGAACCGCTGTAGTCAACGGAACCTTTTTCACCGGAGCCGTCAGCAGTGCGAGTCGGCCGGGGTCTCAGAAGCAGCATGTCGCGGCCCTTACGCGCCGGTTCTATTTTCTATGCCCTACGCCTCTGAAACGGGTCAAGTTTGACATTTTTGGGGAAGGAAAGACAGGAAATGAGACGTGGAAACGGAGCAAGGCTCCCGAGATTTTCAGAATAAAGAAACGTACTGCCTTCCGGTTGCTTTACTTTAAAAAAAGTTACTAACCCCTTCTTTCCACGGGAGCCGTCAGCAGCACGTTACTGCAGCAGCACGTCTTGCTCGTGTAAGCTGCTGCTTGGCCCTTCCCACGAGATGCGAAGCAGCAGGGGAGCAGCTGTCACTGATAGAGCACACAAAGTCACACGAGTGACTTCGTCAGTAAACACAACAACAAGCAGGAGAAAACTACAAACATGGCTCCAAAAGGTTTGTGTTTTATGTTCTGTCCATTTTATAATCGCCAATATGGACCTGAAAAACAAAGGAGACCGCTAGCTAGGTGATAACTTCTCACGGGGCCGCACAGTTAGTAACTTTTTTTTAAAGTAAAGCAACCGGAAGGCAGTACGTTTCTTTATTCTGAAAATCTCGAGAGCTTCGCTCCGTTTCCACGTCCGATATCCTGTCTTTCCTTCCCCAAAAATGTCGAACTTGACCCGTTTCAGAGGCGTCGCGCGTAGAAAATAGAACCGGCGCGTAAGGGCCGCGACATGCTGCTCCTGAGACGTGGCCGACTTGCACTGCTGACGGCTCCGGTGGAAAAGGTTCTGTTGACCACAGCGGTTCCTATCAGCAGCTATGGCATGCTGCTGCAGTAACGTGCTGCTGACGGCTCCGGTGGAAAGAAGGGGTAACTGTGCGGCCCCGTGAGAAGTTATCACCTAGCTAGCGGTCTCCTTTGTTTTTCAGGCCCGTATTGGCGATTATAAAACAGACAGAACATAAAACACAAACCTTTTGAGCCATGTTGTAGTTTTCTCCTGCTTGTTGTTGTGTTTACTGACGAAGTCACTCATGTGACTTTGTGCTCTGTCGGTGACAGCCTGCTCCCCTGCTGCTTCGCGTCTCATGGGAAGGGCCAAGCAGCAGCTTACGCGAGCAAGACGTGCTGCTGCAGTAACGTGCTGCTGACGGCTCCGGTGGAAAGAAGGGGTGACACCATACGGCGCACACTGCAGAGGAATGGCATGGGTATCGTCCACGAAGGAAGCCTCTCCTAAAGCCCATACACAAAAAAGTATGTCTAGGATTTGCTAGGGCTCATGCTGGAGGAGATGAAGACTACTGGGACTCTAGACTCTGGAGTGATGAGACAAAGATGATTGTTTTTGGAACTGATGGTTTCAAAACTGTTCGGCGTCGTAAAGGTGAGGATATCAAAGAGAAAATGCATGGTGCCTGGAGTGAAAGGAAAAGATGCCGCCATCACTCTGCGTACTTGGTCATCGTGCACTTTTCCAACACGACAATGATCCAGAACACATCTAAAGCTACTGTTGCCTTTCTGAAGAAGAACAGGATGATGGTGATTGAATGTCCAAGTATGTCTCCTGATCTGGACCCAGTCCAACACCTGTGGGGATTTCTGAAGCAGCAAGTTGAGCATCACTCTCCATCCAGCATCCAGGCTCTAAAAGAGGTTCTTCTTGAACAATGGAAGAGATAGATGTTGCAACATGTGGACAACTTGTTCATTCCATGCCTAGAAGACTTGGTGCTGTCCTTTTAAAATCTTGATGGTCATACAAAATACTGGCTGTTGTATTTTTGTTGTGGGGTGTATTCATATTTGTATTAACACATTTTAGTAAAACTGAAGATTTTATGATCTAAGTTACATTATTACCATAATTTCATGTTATGGAGTTAAACACGTGTTGAATAAAACCCAGCTTGTGAAAAGTCTGGAAATTGTTCTTTTGTTCATTGAGTTGCTGATTAAATTCATATTTTTTAAAGGGGGTGCTGAGCACTGAATGTGTGAATGGATGAAATACACTGTGGTGTAAAGTGCTTTGGAGCCCTCCGACTCTGAAAGGTGCTGTACAAGTGCAGGTCGTTTATCATTATACGTCCACTCTCAGCTTGGATTGTCTGGGCGTGACGGGCCAAGATGGCGGTGATTGGAACCGCCCATTTGGCTTCAAATAAACCTTTCAGAAAGTGATGGGTGATACTGAGCTTATTTTAATTTCAAATGCAGAAAGATGCACATTTCATGCCTTTTGCTGTCCTAAATTGTAATTTCAGTAACTCTGATAGTAACTTTACAAAACCTTGAAGAATGAATGGCTCCCCACAGGGATGGATCAAATGCAGAGATGAGATTCACCAGTGTGTGATGACTAATGGAACTTTAACTTTAACTTCAAGATCAGTTACTTGTTAAAAATTAAATGTGTGGTGCTTTGCGTGCCTATATTGTTATTTGAAAACATTAATTTAGAGCATAAATGCACAAAACCACCATATAACCAGGGCTGCAGCTGTTGACATGAACTAGTTCATCTTTGTAGAAAAAGGAGCAATT